GTGCGCAGGTCGGACTCGCGGGAACTTGTGCCAGGAGCCTGCTGGAACTTTGACCTGAGATTTCTCCAAGGGTGGATCTGAGAGGAACCGGGGCCTTCAGCTGAGGTGGCCCCTCTCCTGTCTCGGGCTCTTGCCTCTTTCCCTGAGCTTCCCCCCTCCCCCAAGGGTGACACTGGCTGTCCTCACCCTTCCTGCCTTAGTCCCAGTCTCACTTTCCGGCTCTCCCCAGCCTCTCCTCTCACGCTCCGTCTCCCTACTTGCCCCCCCACCCCACCCCCTGGAGGTCACAGGCCCTGGGCTATCTCAGCTTTGTGTAACCCTGGCCTGACCCAAATGACTGTACTCTGACCACACAGTGCCCCAGCCAGAGGCACTCAGATTTAACCCATCCCCTAAACTGCTCTTCCCGTGGCCTCCCTAGCCCAGGTGATGGTGACTTCACCTGTCCAGCTGCACAGCCCCCTCTGTCCCCACACCCACATCCATCCTCGAGTCCTGTGGGCCCCGCCTTCCCGGGTGTGAGGCTCTCACCAGCTGCATGCGCTGCCACCTGTAAGACCAGGCTGTCCTCCTGGATGAATGCCTGCTCCTGCCCCTACAACCCTTGTCAGCAGAGCTGCAGCCACCCGGAGAGCGGTTAGGCTCTGCTCAGAAGCTGCAGTGGTGCCCCTCGCTGGCAGGGCCCTGCACGCAGCCCCTCCCGACCCCACCCACCCCTGCCATCCAGCTTCCTTGCTGCTTCTGTGCCTGCCCAAGCTTGCTCTCCGTTATGGGTGGATATGTCCCCCAAAGTCCACCCGGGAATTTGAATCCCCAGCGTGATAGTACTCGGAGGTGGGCCCTCGGGACACAGCTAGGTCAAGAGCGGCAAGAGTGGGTTAGTGTCATGCAGGGAAGGACACAGCCAGAGCTGCTTCTGCAACCAGGAGCCAAAGTGAATGGCAGCTTGACCTTGGACTTCCCAGCCCCCAGAACTGTGAGAATAAACTTCTGTTGCTGACAAGCCACCGGGTCTATGTACTCTGTTATAGCAGCTGAGCTGACTGAGACAGGCCCCTTCTCGGCCTTCACCCTTGCTATTCCATTGCCCTTCCTCCAAGACGCCCTTGGGGCTTGCTCCCCACTCTCTTTCAGTCTCAGCTAGGTTTCCCCCAGCTCTTCACCCGGGACAGGGAGCCCCTGGCTCCACTCTCCCCCTCTTGCCCTGCTTTCCCCGCCTCCACAGCAGCTGTCAGCTGCCCAGATGCCAGCTCCAGGTGGGCAGGGATTTTTCGTCTGTTTTGTGCATTTGAAAATGGATGATGGAAGGGAATTTTGGGACATGTAGGGGCTGACCCCCAGGGTTCCCTCCCACCTGGACTGAGATCTCAGAAGCTGGCCGAGTGCAGCTGTACTGAGCAGAGGAGACTTGAGGACGCAGGAGCTGTCCACTGCTGGCCTTGCCATCGAGGCCAAGCCTCACTTCAGAGCTTCCCGCAGTCAGGCTGTTCTCCTGAGCCTCAGTTTCTTCGTCCGTGAAATGGGGCTAAAACTCCACCCCACTCAGATGGATCGGGTCCCAAAGGAAAGACTATGAGCACCTGTTAGGTGCCTGGCCAAGTGCAACAACCAACAAAAGTGAATCCAAAGAATTTATTGTGATGGCCCACCACCAATGCCATCACAACCCACATCCTGAGCTAAGGACCACTGCTCCATCTCTACTCCTGTGGTCTCTGTCCTGAAGGCCTCAGACAGAGTGTGGACACCTCTGTACTCGGCCACACAGCCCCAGGGATGGCTTCACTCCTGATGCCAGGACCCAAATCCTGAGGGACAGTGGCCTGCCTACTTTCAGCCCAGGGCAGCCCTGCTCAATCCCCTGTGGCTGGGAGCAGCACTGTGGGGCTGTGGGAGCCCATCCTGTGCACAGGGTAAGGGTCATGAAGGGGTCACTCAGTGCTGAGATCACCAGGTACAGGCCCTGCCATGGTAGGTGCCCAGCTGCTGGGAGTGCTCAGCCATCCCTCTTGTTGCTGGGGGCGCCTATAGTGGGGATGACTGGAGGGTCCCAGGAGAGGAAGGTAGGTGGAGCAGCAGTGGGAGCTTGGTGGGGGAGTCCCCTGGGTGTGGAGGACAGAGACATAACCTGTCCCCAGGGTGTGGGGGAAGGGGCATGTCTTGGGCCTGTCCAGGGCCAGGTGAGGGGCCATGTCTGTCTGGGTCTCCCGTCTGCCTGTCCAGGACCCTCTGCTCAGAGCAGAGAGCAGCATCCTCTCGCCCCCGGACTGGGGAGGACTACTCCATGGGGCTGACAGAGTCCTCCGCAAGCCTGGCCTTCAGGGCCTCAGAGGGTACTGTTGAATCCTTTGGGAGGCTCGGGGTGGCTGTCCAACATTGGGTGTGTGATGACCAGTCCTGGCTTTGCTGTCCCCAGGGCTCGCAGTGCTTGCAGTGACTGCTCGCTCAGGTCCACGGAGGTGAGGCTATGGCCACGGGCAGAGGACAGAAGTCGGGGTTGGCTGGGGGAGGAGGCCAGGGCTCTGGGGAGGCAGTGACAGGGGAGCAGGTGTGGGGGTAGTGATGGAGCTGTTGACCTGGGTCATGCCAATGGCACACAGTGACAAGAGGTGGCCAGTCCAGGGGGATTGTCAGAAGATGGGGGTAGCGGGCAGGGACTAGGGGCCAGAGCCTCCAGGGGAGTGAAAGAGTGTTGGGATCACTGGCCCAGACTGTGGCCAAGGGCACCAGACAAAAGATGGATATTTGGTGTGGCAGAGTGGTCAAGGCCAAGGGCTGGGGCCAGGGGTTTGGAGGGTGAGGCTCCAGGGGCTGGGTTTCAGTGAGGTCACTCAGGAGGGTCCTGGGAGGGGCGCCTCTTTAGGGTCCAGGGGAAGCCCCTGGTGCCCACCCCAGCCCAGGGTTGAGAGTCTGTTCCCAGCACCCTTCCCACCCCTCCTTCTACCTGAGGGTCTGCAGGCGGCATCCTGGGTACTGCAGGGCAGCACACAAGTAGGTCACCATGGGTCCCGACAGCTGGCAGCCACTGAGATCCAGGGTGGTCAGTGCTGGGCTATGCTGGAGCACGCCCACCACGTACTGGAGTGCTTCCTGGAGGCCGGGCTGCTGCACCCTAGAGGGAGGGCTGACTTCAGGAGCGGCTGTAGGAGCCGCCGTCCCTCCCTTGGTCCCTTCCAGGCCGAGCCTCACCTGAGCGTCTGCACCCGGCACTGGGGCCAGGCCAGGCCCTCACTCAGCACACGCAAGCCGGCCTCGCTGAGGCTGTTGCAAACAAGGCCCAGCTCCGTCAGGGCAGGGGCCTCCCTCAGGGCCTCAGAGAGGTCTCTGCAGACCAAGTCGGGGAGTTTGCAGTGGGACAGCCTGTGGTCAAGAAGTACAGGAGTCTGTTTGCCTCTTGGCTACTCCCCAGCTGGGCAAATGCCTCTCCCTGGGGGCCGAGGTACAGTACGCAGATGGTTTGGCTCCACACCTGTCTCCCTGGGCTCCACAGAGCTTCTCCCGCCCTTTGTCACCATGACTGTCCCTGGGGAGCCATGACCATGTGTGCACTGGCTGGACGGCACCTCCCAGTTTCCCTCTGTACAGTCTCCACGAGCTTTTGGACGAGCTGATAAGAGCCCTTACCCTCGCGCTGTCTGACTCCCTGGACTCCCTGTGACCACCGCTTGGGGACAGGTGGGCAGAGCTTAGTCAGCCCGTCCCTGACAGCGGGTAGTTGTGTCGTTTCTGCTTTTTTGCTGTTATAAGTAATGCTGTGGTGAACATCGTTATGCATGTAGTTTAGCGGTAGAGTTGACGGCCCACGTGAGCTCCGTCTTGGCTCCCTGCGTGTCTCTGTCAAGCTGCATCACCGTGTCAGCATCGACACGTGACTACCTCTTTGGCCGTGCCCATCAGTACGCGCTCCTGCCATCTTGCTTACTTTCCGTACTTGATGGTAGCTGACAGCAATTGGAAAGGTGACTGCCTCACTGACTCTCACATCCACCTTCTGCGGTGGGAGCTTCTGGGCTCCATTTCCCGGGAGAGGATGAGAGTCAGGCAGACTGGCCCAGAGCCTGTGCCTGAGCACCTTCCACAACTGCTTCTAAGAGTCCAGAGGGACCTCCCGGCAATATCCAGGAACACTGGCAGCCTTCCTCGGGAGGAAAATACATTCTGGCCAGCTTCATCCCTCCCTCAGAGTGCTTAGCTGTACCCCACTCAGACTGGAGCCAAATCCTCCATCCTAACCAGCACCTGAGCTGTGATGGAGTTCCCCCTTCCCTCCTCTGTCCCGTGTGGGCAGAGCCTGTCCACCCCGGCACAGGACACCAGAGGACACAGATTCTCAGCCTGTTCCCTCGGCTGCCCCCAGACAGGGCCACACCTCTGTGCCTTCCAGGGAAGGGGATGGGCGTGGTCACTCACGTCAGGCTATTTAGACCACACTGTTGGTCCATCATGGCCTCGCAGAGTGGACGCAGTGGAGAGCCCAAGGGTTTTCTTATGGTGGCTTGAGAGCTACTAAGAGAGAAAAGAAGGTGAAGCCTCCTGGCCCCTTCTAACCCCTCACTCCTACCAAGACCTCCTTCCTGTGGTCCTGAGGTGTTGCAGCTGCTTCTGCCCTCACCCCAAGATGGGCCAGGACCCCTCCTCCCCCTTCATCCCAAGCCCAGAGTGAAACCACTCATCTGTGCCCCCACGCATGTGTCTCCTCACTGAAGCTGTCTGTGTGAGTCCCGTGGGGCATGTCACCTGCATACCCAGCATGGGCCTGTCCTTGCACCTGCAATGGGCCTCGTCAGCCCAGCCCCTGTCAGTGTCCTGACATGTGTTCTCCCAGCAGTTGCTGAGCACCCATGTCCAGTGCTGGGCTGGAATTAAGTGCACAGAAAAATGGCACAGGCTTTGCCTTGGAGGACCTGAAGGGCTGGTGGAGGAGGCAGGCATGGGCAGATGTCACGGCATGCCGTAGTCAGTGGGGCACTTCTGAGGCCAAAATGGTCTCCAGCCAGTTGGGGGAACCTGGAGAGACTTTGAGGACAGGCAGTGAACAGAGTGCTCTGGATGGAGGGAACAGCAGGTGCAAAGGCTCAGGGCACAGCAGGCATGGTGTATTCTAGAACTTCTTATGAGAAAACATCGCGGCAGAGGGGAGTGCTGGGTCAGAGCCACGTTTTGGTGCTGGGAGGTTTGCCTTGGATATGGATGCTGGGGGTGAGTATGGTGAGGACACCTGGGGAAGAAGATGGACACCAGGAGGCGGCCTTGCACGGGGGTGGGGAGAACCAGTCCTGAAGTCGTGCCTCTCCTCAGGTGGAACAGGCATCAGGTCTGGACACACTCCCCAGGCCCAGATGGACACTCAGGTGATAAGCATGCACTGACATGCATGACCCACACAGAAGACCTGCAAAAGAGGGCAGCCCTGCCCTGGAGACTCACGAGCTCCCACCCAGGCTGCCCTGGAGCCGCTTCATTAGGCTCTTCTTTTTCTTTTCCTGTGCAGCGGCCAGCCTGCAGCTAACCAGCCGCAGTGCCTGTCCGCTGGGCAGCACCGAATGCAGTAGCTCAGGACGGCCAGATCCATTCGACTCAGGTGCACTCGCTCCAGGGCCAGCTCTGGGAGGCCACGCAGGGCCTGGCACACGAAGGCATCCTCCTGGGTCTCATAGAGGCAGTACAGTAGCTCCAGCGGGTAGTTGAGCTCCTCGCCCTCCTCCTCCTCTGGCTCCTCAGCGCCCTGGAGCACTTGGGTCTTCTCCGTCCCCTCTGTCACCCTCCTAGGGCAGTCCTGACCCTGGTCCTGCACCCACCTCAGGACATCCTGCTTCACCCGCTCTGAAACTGCGCAGCCAAAGTGGCGCTCGATGTCCTGCATCCTCTCCGCGCTCAGCAGTCCGAAGAGAAAGCGAATAGTGAGTGCGAGGTGGCAGCGCAGCTCTGCGTCCCCCCGCAGAAGTGCCCCTACGCCGCCAAGGGGTGCCCTGGGGGCCCCTTCGTCCTCCAGCAGGTAGGACAGCGCGGCAAAGAACTCCTGGAAGCTCTGGTCCATGAACTGGTAGGTGACCTCGGTCTCCAGCACTCCTGGCAGCTCCTTCCTGCTGAGAAACAGCGTCTGGACTTTGGAGCCACGAAGCTCCAGTCGTTCCAGGTCCTTCTCGGAAAACTGCGCCCTGCGCCGGAGGACGCCTTCACGGGCCAGGCGGGACAGCTTGCGCAGCTCGTCCTGCACCCGGCGCCCGTCCGCAGCAGGCGCGGATCTCAGGACGCTGGAGATGAAAAGCAGGTACACGGACGTGGTGGTTTTGGAGGTGCGCGACAGGTCCTGGCCGAGCTCGAGCTGCTGGCGCAGCACGGTGCACACGATCCAGCACACGAAGGGCACGAAGCACAGCGAGAACAGGGTCTCGTTCTCCTTCACGAAGCGGTAGGCACGCTCCGCCCTCCACTCATCCTGGAAGAACTTGTAGAAGTACTTCTTCTTGTCCTTGTCGGAGAAGCCGCGCACCTCGGCGCACTGCGGTGAGCACAGACGGCCCTGCAGCTTCCCGGGGGCGGCGCCGCGCGTGGTCACCAGCAGGCGGGCCTCAGGCAGCAGCACCTTGCTCAGCAGGCCGCCCAGCACCCGTGCGGCGCTCCCGACTTCAAAGGGGTCTATGCAGGGCGCGGTCTCGGCAGACCCCAACGCCGGCAGTTCATCCACGCCATCCAGAATGAAGAGCAGCCTCTCGGACTGCGCTAGCATCTGCCTCACCGGCGCGCTGCGATCGGGGCACTGGTCTAGGATGAGGTCGGCCAGGCTGCACGTGCCCGGTCGCTCCAGTAGCTCGCGGCAAGGCATGAAGAAGGCGAAGTCCACCTGGCCGTGGTACAGCTTGCCCGCCGCCCAGTCGTACAGAATTTTCTTGGCCGCCATGGTTTTGCCGATGCCCGCCGGGCCCTGCAGCACCACGGTCAGCGGTCTCTGGCCCTCCTCGTCGCGTCGGAACAGGCGATTGAAGGTGTGCGTGTCCGAACGTCGGGCGCGTTCCCGCTCCGGCTCCTCCGCAGGCTCCTGAGCCGGGTGCTCCGGGACAGCGCTCTCGGGCGCGATGAGCAGCTTGGTGAAGCGCTTGGTGATCTTCACGGAGCGGGCGTTCCTCTCCTTCACCTTGGCGTGCTGCCGCAGCACGTGCTCTCGGTATTTCTTCTTGTACTCTGGGGGTGGGAGGGGAGGGGAGGGACAGAGGAGAGGAGAACCGCGGGCCGCGGATGAGACGGGCTGTGCCGGCCGACCCTCGGGGGCCCGTTGCCCTCCCACCGGGCTCAGGCCTCAGTTTCCCCTGTCGCACCATCGCCTCCCCCCACCCCGACTCTCACTCCCGCCGGCCTTCGCACACCCGCTTCTCCCGGGGACCAGCGGTTTGGAACCTCCGAGAGGCGTCGAGGGCACTCGTGAGCCAAGCCCAGTGCTCACGGCCCCAGGACAGCTCGGGACTTCCCCCTCCCACCTAGGACGACCTACCAGACACGGAGAGCAGCGCGGAGGAGCTGGGGCCGAGTCCTGGAAGGGAGAGCTAAGGTGAGACCCCCTCACCAAGTGTGCGGTGTGGGGCGGGGCGCAATCCGGGGGCGGGGCCTCACGCACGATTCCGGCCCCAAGACCCGCGAATTTGTGGGTGAAATGTGCCCAGGCCGGAGGCGCGCCACTGCTTTTCTGGGGAAGCAGAAGGAAGGGGGCCTTTGGCCAGGACTCTGCACAGGCAGGAGAAAGGAGGGGCAGGGACTCAGGGAAATCCCCACCCCCACCCCCGCGCTCACTCTGCAGCCGCTGCTCCTTGAGCCTCGCCGCCACGTTGCGCACGTCCGCCCTCTTCAAGGTCTTTCGGGCAACGTCCAGCGCGGGCTCTGGTCCGTAGAAGTCGATCAGCTCCTCCGCAAGGTCCATGGCGTTCGCATTCTCCAGCCGCCCCCAGGGAATGCTGCGGCCGTCCAGCGGCGCGTCCCGCAACTTGTGGCGGAAGCGCTTCAGCTGCTGCTGGCTCAGGTCTTCGAGAGCAGCCAGGAGCAGCTCGCGGGCAGCGCCAGCGACAGCGTCGGGCTCCATGCTGCGGGCGAGCGCACGGCGTTAGCACCTGTGCTGCGCCCCAGTGACCCTTGTCCCTCCCTGCCGCCCCCGACCCCTACGCCGGGCGCCCAAGATCCGCAGGGTCTTAGACGCGCTCGCAACGCGCCTGGTGGCTCCAGGCCAAGCTTGGTAGCGCTCTAGGGGAACGGTCGTCCTCCCCTCCCAGGACTCCGACCAGGAGATTTGCTCCGAGGCGTTCCATCGCTTTGCCGCCGACTGTGTCGCGGCCTGGTGGTGAAGTGGGATTACTCTCCGGCAGGCGCTGGCTGCCGCTGAACCAAGCCCCAGGGAGCGCCTTCCTGCTACGCACCTCCCTTCCCGCTGGTACCTTCCACAGGTCCAGGTCAAACGCCCCAGATGAGATGTCTACAAAGGCCTGTGCTCTCCCCTCTCCTGTGTCTCCCTCCCTTCCCTCCATTCTTCTCCCTAGCAGCCTGGAGCAGAGCTGGCCTCAGCAGGGGGCCACAGTTCCCCCTCTGGCTCAAGTTGTGTTCTTGAATTCCCCAGGACACCCGTGCTCACTACACCCTTTGGTGGGGCCCAGCCTGGGGGCCTTGTACCAGCCACTGAGACTGAGCCCCTGGTGGGAGACAGACAGCTACAGATGCCCTCTGGGGGATAGAGTCCCTAGAATCCTGAGCCTGGGGTCAGCGGGGGAGGGTTGTGTCTAAGGGGGTGGGGAGTGAAGTCCCAGGGAGTCAGTAGGGTGAGGCAGAGGACCCAGAGGGCTGAGACCAGCTAATTCCCAAGTGACTGCTCTGAAAGCCAGCACTTACCTGGAGCAGGAGGCCTCTGGCTGGTCCACAAAGACTGGCCCCTAAGTCTAGCACTCAGGAACAGAGGTGGGGATCAGAGAAGTGACCCCTGCCCAGGCTAACTGGAGTCAAGTCCTAGGGAGATTGTCTAGTCCCGTCCATGCCCCCAGACCCAGGTGTTCTAGTTCAGGCAACACTGAGATGTTCAGCAGTCACCAAGCTCCCAAACTCAGACACTGTGGCACCTGCATACCACCAGCCTTTAAGAGCTCTGCTTAGTGACCTTTGATTTTCTACTGTTCCTTTATCCAGTTCATGTTCTCTGAAAACCAGTGGGGTGTGGCAGCAAGGCATGGCTGTGAGCAGGTAACTGCAGAACAAGGTGGGCTGCATGGAGGAGGTGGCTGACTCAGAACAAGACCTTAAAGTTTAAGGCCTCAAGACAGATTAACTTCTGAAGACAAGGATGAGGGAGGGTCTCCTAGGTAGAGGGAACACTGAGAACAAAGGAAGGATTTGCATGGTGTTATCAGGGAAAGGAAAGCTGTCACCTAGGAATCAAGAAATAATGGGACCGGGAAGAGTTCTGTGGTTTCCCAAACCTGGCTGGAGCAGGCTGATGGGAAGAGGTTTGGACCTGAGGAGTATGTGTGACCGACAAGTGGCTCCGTGTGACCCCATGAATGTGGGCTTCTATTGACAGTGCCCATGTGAAATGTGGGGCGTGTGTATGTCTGCGTCTGCATGTGTGACCACCTTAATACTGTGTTTGTGCGGATGTGTTTGTGGTGGGGTAAATAGCAGTCCCTGATAATATCGGGTCCTAGTCCCTGGAACCTGTGAATGCTCCTTTATACACCACAAAGGCGTTTGCAGATGTGATTAAATTGAGGGTCTTAAACAACAAGCTCATACTGTAGAGCACAGGGAAGTACACTCAACATCTTGTAGTAACTTACGGTGAGAAAGAATATGTATGTTCCTATATGACTGAAGTATTGTGCTGTACACCAGAAAATGATACAACATTGTAAACTGACTATATTTCAATAAAAATTTATGAAAAAATTGAGGATCTTAAGATGGGGAGATTATCTTGGATTGTTATTATTTAATATCATCACAAGTGTCATAGGATAGAGACAGAGGGAGATTTGGCACAGAAGAAGAGGGCAGTGTGACACTGGGGCAAGACGTTGGCTACTGGTTTTGAAGATAGAGGGAGGGGCCATGAGCCAAGGAGTGCAAGGAACCCAGCTCCAGAAGCTGGAGATGCAGCTGGAGAGGGAAGGCGGTCTCCCCTGGAGCCTCCGGAGGGAGAGCAACACCTGGCTCTCAGCCCAGTGAAACTGATTTTGGACTTCCGACCTCCAGAACTGTAAGAGAATAAGTGTGTGTTGTTTTAAGCCATCAAGTTTATAGTAACTAGCTTAGCAGCCACGGGAGATAAACACAGTATCTCTCTGAGAGAACTTGTGTGAGTGAGCACTTCTGTGAGAGTGTGTCTGCAAGAACAGGGGCTCTGGGACAGTCACTGCCTTTCTGGCTCCGTATGTCATCCCTGTGTTTGGTTCTGCTTCCATCAGGAGCCTTGAGAGCTGCACTTGGGGAGGGAACCCAGAGTTCAGGGAGCCTCTGTTCTGCTGGCCCTTCCCCAGGAGCAAGAGGTCCATGGAGGTGCCCATTCTACCTAAGAGTTTTGTGTTTTATTGAAGTAGTTGATTTACAATGTTGTGTTAGTTTCTGGTGTACAGCAGAGTGATTCAGTTATACATTTATATATATATATTCTTTTTCATATTCTTTTTATTATAGTTTATTACAAACTATTGAATATAGTTCCCTGTGCTATATAGGACCTTGTTTATGTATTTTATATATAGTAGTTAGTATCTGCAAGCCCCCAATTCCTAATTTATCCCTGCCTCTTTCCCCTTTGGTAATCATAAGTTTGTTTTCTATGTCTGTGAGTCTGTTTCTGTTTTGTAAATTAGTTCATTTGTACCAATTTTTAGATTCTACATATAATTGATATCATATATTTGTCTTTCTCTGTCTCACTTCGCTTAATATGATAATCTCTAGGTTCATCCATGTTGCTGCAAATGTCATTATTTTATTCTTTTTTATGGCTGAGTAGTATTCCATTGTATAAATATATCACAACTTCTTTATCCAGTCATCTGTTGATGGACATTTAGGCTATTTCCATGTCTTGGTTATTGTAAATAGTGCTGCTATGAACACTGGGGTGATGCATCTGTTTGAATTAGAGTTTTCTCTGGATACCTGCCCGGGAGTGGGATTGCTGGGTCATATGGCAAGTCTATTTTGAGTTTTGTAAGGAATCTCCATTCTATTTTCCATACTGGCTGCACCAAACTACATTCCCACCAACAGTGTAGGAGGGTCCCCTTTTCTCCACAGCCTCTCCAGCATTTATCGTTTGTGGACTTTTTAATGGTGGCTATTCTGGCATGTGTGAGGGGATACCTCATTGTAGATTTGATTTACGTTTCTCTGATAATTAGCGATGTTGAGCATCTTTTCACGTGCCCACTGGCCCTCTGGAGGTGTTCATGGGAGTAATGTCTGTTTAGGTCTTCTGCCTTTATTTTGATACGGTTGCTTGTTTTTTTGTTACTGAGTTGTACTACCTATGAGTTCTCTTTCTATTTAATGCAAACAGACCTCATCACTCCCTGAGGAGGGCTCAGGTGGTTTCATCCACACTCACATCTACCCCAAGGTAGCCTCCTTACTCTCTCCTGCTGACTGCCCCCCATGCAGGCAGCCTCCTGGGTACAGAGCAGGATGGGTGAGGGGAAAGCCTGGAGGAGACACGCCAGCACACATCCTGGTGGGAGGGATACTTTGTGCTTTTTAAAAACATGAACAAGTCTCATTTGTCCCCATAGAGCCCTGAGAGGATGAGGCAGCAAGCCTGCCCCATGGGTTGAAGCAGCCCCCCCCCACCTCGGGCCAGGCCCAGAGTAGGGACGAGATCTTCACCCCAATTGTGGTGTGGGCAGCACCCAACAAAGCAGAAGAGCGGACGAGGTCTCCTTGGGGTTAGGGTCCTGGAGACAAGCCCCGAGCAGAGTCTGGCTTCAGCTGCCAAGGGGCAACTTCTGTGAACACCGTGTGGGGTCCCAGCTCCTCTGACATGCTGTGATTCTGCAGAGAGCTTTCCCAGGCAAAGCAACAGCTTAGACAACAAAGGCAGATGTTTCAGAGCTGGGCTGCGGACAGAATCTGGCCCTGCGCAGCTCGGTGGGCATCGTGGGGCCCCTGAGCCACAGCCCCACTGCTGAAGACCCAGCGCGCCCCTCACTGAGCCCTTCATTGAGCCCCAAGATGCAACACTGATTCCCACACAGGCCACTGCTGTTTTTCTCCTAAATGCACATTCACTTTTCTCTCTCCACAGTATAAATTCTTGAAAGCAAGCTCTCTACAACTGAACCCTCTCTCCCTTTCATTGTTGTTTTAGACTGAAGAGCACAATCTTCTAAGCCAGGCTGTCTGGGATCAAATCTTGGCCCCACCACCCAATAGCTGGGTGACCTTGGACAAGTTACTTAACCTGTCTGTGTCTCCATTTCCTCATCTATAGAATGGCATGATAACAGAACCTCAGTGTCGAGGGCTGTAACACATGTGCCTAGCGCCTTCTGGGCATTAATTATCATCACCACTCAGGTCCTGTGGGTAACCCCCTCACTATGAAGCTACATTTCTGGGGTCACCAAGACTGTTCCAATTTCTAAACCACTTCAGTTCTGATTCCACTTCACTTATCCTCAGCTCTTAGCCCTGCTGACCATGAACTTTTCCTCAAAATGGTCTTTTCCTTTTGTCGAAGGAACCAAGGGTGCAGGTCAGAGATAACACTGGGGCCCCGGTAACGTGGGGCTGAGGCGTGTGTCTGGTGCATTCTGCCACAACCAGCCTGGGAAGGGTCCTGAGGTCATGGCGTGGGGGTGCTAAGGTCAGCCCATCTCCTAATATGGACCCTCCTTGAGTGGACTCTGCCCTCACAAACTCTCAGCACCTGCTGAGAGCAGCCCTGGAGCCAGCATTTCCAAGAACCTTTGCCTGGACCTGAGCTGAGGAGGTGGGGTGGGTGGGTGGGGTTGGGAGCAGAGGGAAGGAGAGGCCAAGAGAGCAGGGAGAGGAGAGGTTAGTGAACTGATGAGAAAAAGAAAATGAGAGCAGGGAGGGGAGGGGAGCCAGCATGCACATTGCCAATCTGCTCTGGGCTGTGTCACCCACAGGGCTTAGCTTCTCCGCAGGACCATTTCAAAAGATATGACTTTTAAATTGTTAACAATGATTTACACTGCATTGTGAATTTCCTCAAAGTCCCTCCCACCGGATTTCATTACCCAACAAAGTTTCACGAAAATCTTTAATCCTTTCTTCCTCACTCTCAAGTGTTGTCCTCATGGCAGCTGCTAATGAGATCTCCCTGGAGTCCTCTTGACCATGCCCTCAACATCACCCCCTCCGCCTTTGGGGTTTGAAAAGCCTAGTTCTTGAGCACTTGGTGTGCCCTGAATAGAGTCCTTCTTTCCCTGTTCTGAGCACCCTATTTATATCTTGACCTCAGAGAAAGAACCACTGAAGGGTCCATGACCTCTTTCTCTGGAGGAGCGGGTAAGGGGAGGGCAAAAATGGACCTATAGCTGACCCACTCCCTGTATACCAACAAAATAGATGGTTTAGATGAAGCGGACAAATTCCTAAGAAGACATAAACTACTGACACTGACTCAAAAGAACATTTAAAGTCTGACTAGATCCATAGCAAGTAAAGAGACTGAATTAATAATCAAAAACTTCTCACAAAGAAGAGCCCAAGCCAAGATAGCATCCGTGGTGATGCTACTGAACATTTAAAGAAGAGTTACTGTTAGTCCTTCACAAACTCTTGCAAGAGGTATAAATGGAGGGAAACCTTCTCGCCTTGTTCTGTGAGGCCCTATGGCCCTGACACCCAAAGCAGGGCATTACAGACACGTGCCAGGAAAGCTGAAGACCAACACCCCTGATAAACACAGACACGAAAACCCTCAGTGACCCACTAGCAAGCAGAACTCCCTAACACGTAAGAAGACTGACAAGCCGTGACTAAACGGCCTGGCTCCAGTAGTGCAAGGCTGGCTTGACCCCCAGATCCGCTAGTCTAGCAGGAGAGCCCTCGCTGCCCCCATCCTGCAGGAGCTGCCGGGCATCCTGGGTGGCGCTCATTCCCCTTTTCTCTGAATGAGGTTTTTCACTGCAGCAATTCTTCTCCTTTTATACTCTTGCACCCTGGGATTTTGGAAGCGGATGTTTGATTTGTTGGCTGTCAGAAGTTCTGGTGACCACAAGTTTGAGATCAAAGTGTCAGCAGGGCTGATTTCTTCTAAGGCCTTTCTCTCTGATGTGTAGGTCACTGTCTTCTTCCAGGGTCTTCACACGGTCTTCCCTGCTGGTATCCAGTATGGATCTTAACAGAGCCCAGCCTACCTGGGGAAAGGACAGTATTCAACCCTAGCCCTCGTTAGCCTTCCAGTCTCACTCAGAGAGAAAAATACCCTGGCCTTACCAACAGAGGAGCAAGGACAGGGTTACAGCAGACTTCTCAGAAACCATGCAAGCAAGAGAGTGGGAGGAAATATTCAAACGGTTGAAAGAGTTCTTTACCCAGCGAAATTATACATCAGACATGAAAGAAATAAAGACTTCCTCACACAAACAAAAACTGAGGGTGTTTCTCACTGGTAGAGCAGCCCTGAAAGAATTGTAAAGAGAAGTTCTTCAGAGAGAAGGAAAATGATACAGGTCAAAATTCAGATCTACATAAATAATGAAGAACATTAATGAAAGAATAAATGAAGGTAAAATAAAGTCTGTGTTTCCAGTATGCTTAGCTGATCTATCAGTTTGCTCAAAATAATGAAATCAGCATCAGGTGATTGTAGCTTGTGGGTAGGAAATGAGTGGTGACAGTGTGTGTGAGATGGAGGAAGACTGGGGATATGCTGGTCATAGGGCTTTTGTGCTGCCTACGAAGTTCTGGAGTGTTATTTGAAAATGGATTTAGATTGATTGTAAAAGTAGATTGTAAACTCTAGGGAAACCACTAAAGCATTTAAAAAAAGACATATAATTGATATGTTAAGAGAATAAGAGAAATTTGAAAATCATATAAAGTACTCAAAACCAGAGAAGGTGGAAAAAGAGTGGAGGACAAAAAAAAAAAAGAAAGAAAGAAAGAAAGAAAGAAAAAGGCTTCAAATAGAAAATAGTTATAAATACGGTAAACATTAATCCAGCTATATCAATAACCACTTTAAATGTAAATGATCTAAATATACCAATTAAAAGAGAGAGATTATCAGAGTGGATAAAAAACGTGATCCACAAGAAACCCACATTAAATATAAAGACACAATTACATTAAAAGTAAAGGAATGAAGAAAGATATACCATGCTAACAGTAATCAAAACAAAAACAGTTTGATAAAGGTGATCAAAAGGCATAAGCTTCCAGTTATAAGATAAATGAAGATGAGAGATGTAACACGCTGCAGGATGACTACAGCTAACACTGCTGTATGGTGTATGCGAAAACTGTTAAAAGAACAAATCCTAAGAATTCCTCCCAAGTGCATACATAACATTCACCAAGAACGGCCACATTCTGGACCCTGAAACTCATCTTAACAAATTTAAAAGAACAGAAATCATATAATATCTGTTCTCAGACCACAGTGGAATTAACAATCACAGAAAGATAACTTAAAAATTCCAAAATGTTTGGAGATTTAAAAATACACTTCTACATAACACAGTGGTCAAAAGGAAGTCTCAAGGGAAATTTTAAAAATATTTTAACTAAGTGAAAGTAAAGATACATCTTACCGATATTGAAGGGATCCATCTAAAGCCATGCTTAGAGGGGTATTTATAGCATTGAATGCATAGATTAGAAAAGAAGAATGATTTAAAATCAGTGATGAAAGCTTCTACCTTAAGAAACTAGAAAAAGAAAGGTGAATGAGATCCAAAGCAAGCAGAAAAAACGAATAATAAAAATTAGAGCAGGAATCAATGAAACCAAAAGCAGGAAGTTAAGAGAGAAAATCAAAGAATGAAAGATTAGTTATTTGAAAAGAGCAATAATATTCAAAAGCCTCTAGCCAGGCTAACCAAGAGAAAGGCAGATAAGGTAGATTACACAGGGGCCATTACTGCAGATCCCGCGAACATGGAGAGGATGATGATGGGGTACTGCGAATAGCCCCATGCCCACGAAGGTGACAGCTTAGGTGAAATGGATCGGCTCCTTGGAACACACAGTCTACCAAAACTCACACAGGTAGATACTGTGAACATGTCTGCGTCCATCAAAGACACTGAATCACTGACTGACAACCTTCCAAAGCAGGAAGCATCAGGCCCAGACGGGCTCACTGGTGAATTCTACTAGACATTTAAAGAAACGATGATGGTTCTCTACAATCTCTTCCAAATACCGAAGCAGAGGGAACACTTCCTAACTCATACTATGAAGCCATGTTTCCTTAATACCAAAACTAGGTGAAGATATTATAAGAAAGGAAAATAATACGCCAGTTTCTCTCATGGGTAGATGCAAAACTCTTCAACAAAATTTTAGCAAGTTGAGTCCAGCATGTCTAACATGAATTATACAACACAACCATGTGAGCTTTACCCCAGGCGTGCAAGGCTGGTTTAATGTTAAAAATCAGCTGAGTGCAACCCAGCTATTAATAGGCCAAGGAAGAGAAATCACATCATCATATCAATAAACTTTTAAAAAGCATTTGCAAACCCCACGCCCATTCATAGTGAAAGCTCTCAGCAAACAGGAGCAGAGGGGAGTCTTTTAGTTAAGAAACAACAGCTGCCTAAAAGCCTACTGCTAGCATCGCGCTTGAGGTGAGAAGCCAGAAGCTGCCCCTCCCAGCTCAGGAGCAGCGCAGGGATCCTCTCTTCCACCCTTCACATTCCACAGAGGAGTCTTCATTATGCAATAAGACTCAGAAAGGTAACAGACGTGTGCAGACTGGGAAGTGAAAGATAAGCTCTTTTTTCCCCACACGTAATTGTCTATGTAGAAAATTCCAAAGAACAAAAACTCCTGGAACTAATAAGCAATTACAGCAAGGTTGCAGGACACAAGGTTCATGTGCAAAAGCTGCCTGCTTTCCTGTATGCCAGCCGTGAACAACTGGCATTTTCAATTAAAGCATATGTCATTTATATTAGCTCTAAAAAGTGAAATATATAGGTACAGATTCAGCAAAGTGTGTGCAAGATCCACATGAGGAAAACTGTGGTGCTCTGATGAGAGAAATCAAGGATCTAAATCAAGGGAGAAATGTTCCACATTCTACAGATAGAAAGACCCAATATTATTAAGATGCCAGTT